AATCCCCATATAGAGCTACCCAACGGAAATTAAAAAGGACGACTGAACTTTTTATTGACAGTTCTGATTCGCTTTTTATGGGTCATGCCAATGGCGGATATCCATGGCCAGTACGTAATTGCAGACATTTGGACAGGGTAATTTCGAGCGTCCCTTTTACTGGGAAATATCGTTGTGATTAGCGTTAAAAGTCGGGCTTAGGATTCAGGAGACAAGTGGAGGTGTAGAACATAGGGACCATTTCTAAAATTATAACTGCTGACCAAACGTCAGTTTCGAACCGAAAGGGACGAAAGAAAAGCTGCAAAATAAGACTATTTTCACTACGTTTGACAGAGTTTTCTGTAGCTGAGGTGTCCTTTTATGTTTCATTTTCACTGGCTTGCTGTGCTAAGTAAACGTCATCACATTTTACGTGAATATGTTATCGATAATTTGGCAATGTTATATCATTCTCTGACTATTCTTCCATCTCAAGTCTAATTTTTCGGTGCATTCCTATGAATAAAAGAGACGAAAATACAAAAAAGAAAAACAAACATTTACTGAAGCATTATTCCTTTGTTTATAACTTGATTATTATTCAAACCCGCATTTTGTTTTAGTTTGTTTTATTTAATTCTATCAACATAACTTTTAGTCATTTGAAACTATTCCTCTTGCATTGTTTTACTTAAAACAAGCGTTTTTCGTTTTTCTGAGATATTGCCTCTGTCTTTTCGTTTTTGTTGCCCTAATGGACGAAAGTAATTTCAGGTAATGAAATCGCCAGTCTTCTTTATTCGCAGAGTATGCCTTGCCTAAAGTTTAGTTTAATGCACTTTCAGTTTCATTATTTTTGCGAATTTTAGATGAAAAATTAATGAACCGCACGCTATGTTGTCCCGATAACACTTTGATTATATATGTCTGCTGTTATCAACATTTACTAAAATCATCAAAAGTCCTTGCGTAAATTCAAGAAATTGTTAAACAATGTCGTCTTAATTGCTATCAGTCATTCAGTTCCCTTCTGATTGAACCATATTCAGCAACTGGAATATTGAAATATAAATATAACCGAAATATAATCGTATAACTTCTGTCAAAATTCATCAGTAGTTAACAACCTCAGTAGCGCTGTTAATGAGTGTATTTGATAAAACAGTTTTATGGACTGTATTCGACAACGAAGTCAGTAACAGGACGTTTTTCACGGTAAGGAAAATTATAAACTTATCAGTCTAACGTATCCTCTCCAGAATGAAAATTATGCGCTTTTGCCCCCTATAGCTTTAAATGTTGAAATATGCTTCATGCTTATCAAACCCAGCTGCTTTTGTTTTAATTGTCAGTGGACGATGCTCTTAGCTGTAAAGGCCATATCTTAGAACGAGTTTGAGATTAGGTGGTCGAACGTTGTAGCCCGTTGTAGCCTTTGTTGAGCGACATTGCAGAATGAGTACCTTTTTCCAAACTTAAAATGCAGAGGGTTTTTCGGACTTTATTAGTTTTTTTTTTTTTTTTCGTTTATACCTGTTTGTTTTGCATCTTCCTGGGAGGGTGATGCTTAACACATCTTAAAGTGCTACAATCAATCTTGAGCCATTGCGGGAAAGCAATGCATCCGAAGCATTTTCTGTAATACAAAAATTAAGGATCTCCCGAGTGTAATTTAATTCTATCTTTGCGATCTCAAGGCCAAACCCATTTAGTCTTTGCATGGAGTTTTCTTGTAAATTGGCGAAGGCGGCGGGTATTTACGTGTTTGATCTACATGGTTATTTAGTTGCGATTGCTACGTTGAATGCGAAATGATACGTTCAAGCGGAGGTTGTCTGCCAAGGAAAGATTAACTTGCTACGATGTTCGACTTCGTTCCGCGCTCGACGTCAGTAGAGCTAGACATTTGATTTAGCTGTGGTAATGGCAGCTGAAGTAATAGACCAGCGAAATAACTGGCAGCTGATCTCAACAATATCACTGCACGACGACCAGAGAAGAACCTGGTCACATTGAACACTGGTCGAAGCTGGTTCTTTAAAGTGCCATCGCCTACACAGATCTACACATGCATTTTCATGCCAATTATTATGTCATGTTATGGGCAGCCGCAGTAGTGAGACAAACATAAAGTTGGCAGATGTTTATTATAGCCTCGACACCCGTTAAGAGTGAATGTCGGTAAAAATCGAAGAAAATTCAAAGCATGTGGCCAAAAGGACCAAAACAACCGATAGTGTCTCAAGTCTCTTGAGAATTTGAAAAAAAAGGAGACTTCGAACACAGCCTTCCAGAGTTACGCTTTCATTTTTGCAGGATCTTGTGGACCTTTTTCATTAACGTCAAAGAAACTTGCACAAAAGTTTAACATCCGCACATTTGAAATATACACCATTCTTGCCGGAGATGACATCAAATACAATTTCTATTCTATAAAGAAATGCTTTTTGGAGTATTTTTATTCCTACAGCAAATTAATGAAGAGTCCTCTCATTTAAACACAACGACTTTGAACGTTATCCGCTGAAAATATAGTAGGACATCATTCGAATCAACCGATTTAAGGACCCATTAACCGATTCATGCGCGTGCTCGCGCGCGTTGCTAAGGAGGTGAAATTTCACTTAAGGTGGCTGAACACAGTTTTCGCGCGCGCTTTTGCTGATGCAATTCAGCGCGCGCTCAAGAATTGCAAAAAAAGCAAACATGCC